GCATTCATGGGTTTTCTTAAAATACTTCCTATTTGTTTCACTATTTGGTGACTTAAACAGCACAAGTTTTCCAATCTCGGAAGTAAGAATATATGGAGTAATGCAGAAATAAAAACTTTAATATCTCTGCATGAAAAATGTTTATTTTGATTTCTATAAGTTATAGAAATCAAAATAAACAACAAGAAACATTAAAATTAATTGCAACAAAACTTAATCCTGACAGTAATGAAGTTTCGCAAAATGTTATCAATGTATAGTAAATAGAAAAGTCCTAAAATAATTACAATAAATGAATTCTACTGTATTTTTATATTCAAGTATCTTTATTTTATTATAAAATTTTTAAATATAATTTTCAGAAAACTGACAAACTTGATATCTAATTCTAAAATCAAATTCCTATATTATATTATATTATTATTTTATTAGACTGCTTTGAAAGTTTGACAAAATTTACATATTCTAATTAATGTTTTTAAATAAAATAAATTGATTAATTCAGAAACTGATAGTTAATTATCAAATATAGCTAAGCTTGCTATTTTGTAAAATACAAAAAAATTATTTAAAAGCAATATTATTTTTGCTTCATAAATCAGAATGACTAATTTTTAGATAATCAGAAATGCAAGGTAATCTATTTGGACAGTAAACTCTTATCAAAAAGTTTTATCTTCTTAAAGAAATATCTCTCCCCTATTGCAGCAGTATAAAAATTCACAGAAAGAGAAGTAAAAAACATTACTTTTTTTTAAACGTTATTTTTAAAGATTTCAAAATAATCTTTAAACATAATTTTGTTTCTAAAGAAATTTTTTTCTGTGTTGAGAAGTTTTCATTATAAAACTAACAACATATTTGCATACACCAAAACTCCAAAAAAGAATCTATGTACAGGTAACCCCCGTATAACACGGCACTTCTATAGCACGGATTCGCTCTAACACGGTTCGAAAATTGGTACCATCCCCCGTATAACACGGTACTTTTATAGCACGGATCCACTCTGACACAGTTCGAGAATTGGGTAAAACCCTCGTACAACAGGAAATGTAATAAATTTTTACATACTTAAGTAATAATAGTTCACGAAAATTATTATTTTCGTGAACTATTAGTACTTAAGTATGTAAATTTTCTCTTCTCGCCTTCTGTCGATACACGTGGTCCTTCTCGAAACTTGTTTCAATGTTGCCAGATCGCGACGCTTCTGCTTCTGATGTTGCCGAATGTTTTTCCCTTATTCCATACTTGCTTTATTCTTCATAAGTGCTTAGCACCATATAAGGAAATTTATAAAGACCTTTTAACTAGAAGCAAGCAATCTAAAATTACATACATTTTGCAAAAGGTAAAGCATGGATCTGAAGATAATGCAGAAAAATGCTCAGAGGATAAGGATAACTTGCCAAAAAGAAAACGCTCTCGGTTAATTAATAGTGTTTTTAGTGATGACGAAGAAAACATTGTTTAATTTATATTAATATGTATCACTTAAAAAAATTTTAATGAAGATATTTATCTTAATTATGAAAATATACTAGCAATGTTTTTAATTTTTTGAACCTAACCCTCCTTTTCGTATTAGTTCTTTGTTTCGTATAACACGGATTCGCATAACACGGCAATTTTTTGGAACGTAACTACCGTGTTATACGGGGGTTACCTGTATTATGACTGAGGAGGGACCTGTTAGGTCTGAAATGCACATAAAAAAAAAATAAATAAATACATAGAAGAAAACTATGTTGCAAGGTCATTCTGTTCTGTGGCTATCCAGTTTGATAAGTCTATAGAAAAAGTGCACTAGCACAAAACATAGAAAATGAGACTTTTTCTGTTTGTTTTTTTCATTACACTGTAAAAACACAATCAATTAAAAATAACATTAATTTTTTTAATTTAAACTAGTCAGTCATTCTAAAAAAATGATAGTCAATGATCAGAATAAGCAAGCAAATGATTAATTTAAGAAACTAAGATTTCTGCTGTTTTTACTATGTTTTTTACTCTATTTGTATAATTTTGATTATAGTATTTTAGACATTGATAATTCATATCTAAAAATATGCAGTCATCATCACAAAATTTCAAATTATCTTAAAGCTGAGCATTGATTTAAGATAACTTCTCTGTTATGGTTTTGAATTTATATAAATTATGATTACACAATAAACCTCAATTAATTTGGTTTGCTAAGAACTGTATTAGGTAGCAAACTTTCTTCATAAAGAAATTTTGTGTAAAATTGATATTTAGTAAATAGCACAAAATAAACATCTTCTAAATATTAACACTGTATTGAGTAATAAACATCCACAAACAAAACCTTTTTCATCAGTGTTGTATGCCAGTTAGTTCAGCACCTGAAGAAGACCTTGGTGGAGGCTGAAAACGTTAGTAGGTTTTGTATCAAATACAACACTGATTAAAAAAAAAGTTTTGTTTGTGGATGTTTAGTAAATAGCACATTTAAAACAAAATAAGTATCAAAATCTTTATTCATTTGAAATTAAAAAATTTATAATGTATATATCAATTGTTTCTTCACATAGTCTGTCAATTTGTCAAGCTATCTGTTTCAATACATCATCAATTTTTTAATGTCATTTTAACATAATTCAGGCAGTGAGTTCATTCTTCTATGAAACTGCCTAAATTTCATATTGATGTGGAATGTTAATTAGTTAAGGCCATACCTTATGAGAACAATTGTGATAACAAGAGTCTTCTAAAATGTGCCATATACAGTACAGAAATTAATCACTAATGGAAATGTTCAGAGATTCATTAATGGATGCATCATTGCCTAGCAAACTTTCAGGGACAGTGGGATTCTGAAACTAGTAGTGCAATGAGACCAACATCTAAATAAATTGAAAGACTATATAGAAAGTAGACAATGATTTGATTGTAACTTGCATGTCTCAAAATTTTTCTATCTGTTATAATTTTCAAAAACAATTTTCTAATCATATTTTTCATTATTTATTGCATTAAATGCTAATAATTATCATGTACAGGTTTTAAAAAACATGCTGAATAAGTAAGCACAAATATGTATGTTAAAGTTTCAAATAAATAATGTCATGAATATTATAGTTAACTGTTATGTAATTAGAAAATAATAGATAATAAGCATAATTTCTATCAGTTCATCAAATATAAAGTCAGCTGCCATCATATTATGTACAGTATTCTCAATATCAGACATCTATTATTCTATTTAAAATGGAGTTACGATATGTATGTCATGTAATAATTTTCAATTTGCATTAAATATGGATTAATATTAAATTTTCATACAAAATTTATACAATAAAAATTTGTTCAGTTTCTATTTTCATTTGATCAACAGAAAATTAAAATTAAATAGATAAATCTCTTTTAAATAAATAAATTTGCAAACACTTAGATATTTAATTTCTCATTCCCTGTGATTATTTTTTTCCCATCTCTCCTGCTGTTGTTTTGAAATGGAGAGACTAATAGTTTGCAGTCCTCAAGACATTAGAAACATCAAAATTTAAGATATTAATCAGAATAACTGTATATCTTATTAAATTCTAATAAATGTTTTCAGTTCTCTTAAAATTTCATAGCTATTTGCCTTCAAATATACGAGCTCTAAGATGGCTTTTTCTTTTCCGCTACACTTATTACACCATCAATGAAACGGAAGACAAACTTTAGAAAGACTTTTTATTTATTTGAGTATGCATTTCGGATAATTATATCCCTTTTCAACTCTTTCTTACAAATGGATTGTGAGAAATGCAGGAGTTGTGACATTAGATAAAATATGGATGGTGATTATTGATTAACAGGTATAAGCTAAGTGAACATGACTGCCTGGTACATAGTGTTGGAAAGAACATCCCAGTATACACAACACAATGTTGATTTAATATTAAAAAAATTGGGAACCTTGATCTTGGTTACAGTAAGGGTAATAGAAACCTTTTGGAACAACCAGTATGATGAAGTGAAGTTAGTGCACCATTAAAATAAAGTTCATTTATTTTAATGGTTAATATTAACTCAACATTAATAATTTGGTGGTACACACGGTTACTTCGGTAAGTACCACAGGACAACCAGTGATATCATAACAGTGATTTTTAAATGCAGTTGGTTATTTAGGTCACATTTTCTAAACATCTTAGTAACTACCAGCAGTTACCGGTAACACCAATTACAATTTCCAAATGCGCCCTAGGAAGATAGAACCGACTAAACTACTTGTTTGATATTGCTTATGTATGGATATTTGCAGTGGCAGCTCACTTCAAAAATCTCGCAACACACTAAAATGCTGCAGCACAATGGTTGAGAATCACTGATTTAAAACAATACATCTGAAAACATTATACTGTACATCAGAAAACAATTGATGTATGTCTAATTAAAATAAATTTTACCAAGAATAATTTGAAAATAAAAATCATGTAAGAATTAAAAGCTATACTTTTAATTTGAATTTTTGACTTTTTAGAATCATAACAGGCAAAATAAAATAGCTATAGCTCTTCAATTTCGTTGTAATGATATTGAAATTTTTTTAAAAATTGTTTAAAAATATGACGATTTTATAATTTTAATTTTTAAGCAGTAAGTATTTGTAATACGGTACACACTTAATTTCAGCTGTCGGGTTTAATTTACATTCAGGTGAACACATTCAATGGTAAGTTAAATATTCGATTTTTTCTTATTTACATTGATTTCGCCATATGGATGTTAATAACATGTGCGATTTAATTATAAAAATGATTACATGTATTCTAATAAAACATTTTAATTATAGCAATGATGTTTTTAACACATAAACAAGTAAAACACCAACATTACTTAATTTTTTCTAATTTAAACATCTGCGGAAGTATTAATCATTCGTTTGCATGAGGATAATTTTTAAATCTTTAGAAAATAAAACTTTTAAACACGTAAAACATATTTATTTTAAATTATATGAAAAATAACAAATGCAGACATACTTTCAGTTTAGCAGTTTCGATCCAACTACTCCACCAAGAACCACTACTCTCTCCATTACTGTTAAAAATTAATTGTATTTTGTAATTAATTTCATTTTTGTTTTAAACATTAAAATTATTATAAAACATCACTGTATACCTTTGCTCGGCCATCTTTGACTGTTTACGTCAAACATCGCCACCTGGTTACAATTAAAATATAAGTAATGCCGTATGTTTAATTATGTAAATTATAAAATAAATTAAATTATTATTTTATGTTTGGTACAGTTATTCCTTCTCTACTCGGAGATTACACGGAAGGAAAAACTGCTGGATGGTGGAGCGGTTAACGGGACAGTCTACTAGATCTACGGTCTACCGCTGTTGAGGACGGAATTAAATCCATACAGTCGAAAAACTCCACGAATTTTTCGAAGTGCTGTCCGTCCCGATATGTTAGGCCCTGTCACTTATCACAATGTCCGTCCTATTACAAGCCTGGCCATTGTGGGCTTACTAAAAAAAAGGCCCGCTTAACCGCTTAATAGGACCCTCAGGGCGGAGAGTTTAGACGGCCGGATGGCCGAGCGGTCAAGGTGGCAGCCTACCGCTTCGACTGAAATAATTAAATCCTAAATATGCGGCCGGATGGCCGAGCGGTCAAGGTGGCAGCCTACCGCTCTGGGGTACCTAGGTTCGAATCAGGACGGGTCGATAAATCCCCAGGAATTTTTCGGGGATGATCCGGCCGGATATGTCGGCCCCCGTCTCTCACCAATCGGCCGCCCCATTGTGGGCTTGTCCGAATCCATAATGAGGTTGCTAAAAGAGATCCTCTCAGTGCCCACAGGGCGAAAAGATTTTTAAAAAAGTACTTAACGAGTGAAGAAATTAATTTAACTTTAGTACAGTTTCAAATAAAGAGATATTAAAACTATGTGAAACATTAAAAAACTACTCATCAGTTAAGATAAGTTACCAAATTACCCACTACAAAATACCCGAAAAGTGGGTAATTACGGTTTCATTGGCAACATTGAAAGAAATATAACAATAGAGTTATCGTTGATGTCGTTTGAATTTTTTAAAAACAAATATTTTATAAAATATCAAAATATTTATTTCTGAGAAATATTTTAAATTTATATATAAATGTATAAAAATTATACAATATTTTTTCAGATTTTGTAAACTTTTTACATTATTGTATTATAATTTAGTTATCAGAGGGCGCTAATTGTAAGTAGTCGCCATTTTTATTTTATTAACAACGTGGTTAGTTGTATCTTTTTTGTGCTTTGGATAAAGTAAGTAAAATATGGTAAAACAGTCAATATACTCCAGGTATTAATCCTTACAAATTTTAATCGGTATCTAATGTTTTTGTTTTAGGATAAACAAAATGCAAAACGAAGCCGGAGAACACGTTGATTTATATATTCCTCGTAAATGGTAAGTTCTGTAGTGTTCCGTAAACCAAAATGGAGTTTCGATTCATTATTAAAGAGGATCGGGTTTAAAATAAAATTATTATAGTATCATGTTAAATTAAGTTACGTGATAAGAAATTGCATATACAGTCGACCCCCCTATAAGATCATTGATTTTTCCGTTTTATCTGAATTACATGTTGTACGAGTCACTTAGATTTTACAAATATGTGAGCCGTTCACAGCCCGGCACATGTATTTGTAAAATCGGTTAATGTTCACGGTCGTAGACCATCATGGCGGCTCTTCCTGTTTTAGCCTCGAAACAGGACCGCTTTGGAGACGACGTGTCACGTGACGACGCGAGCGAACCGCTGCGGCTGCTGCGCCGCGATAAACGGGGAAAACCGACGCGCGGGTTAACGTCCATATACGTAGACTCATGCGGCTCATCTCTGATTCCGCAAAAAGAAAAGGAAACAGTGGGGACGCACGTTCTAACCTAACCTAACCTATTCTAATAAATTATCATAATTATTACCAATTATATTATTAGAATAGGTTAGGTTAGGTTAGAACGTGCGTCCCCACTGTTTCCTTTTTTTTTTGCGGAATCAGAGATGAGCCGCCATGAGTCTACGTATATGGACGTTAACCCGCGCGTCGGTTTTCCCCGTTTATCGCGGCGCAGCAGCCGCCGCCGTTCGCTCGCGTCGTCACGTGACACGTCGTCTCCAAAGCGGTCCGGTTTCGAGGCTAAAATAGGAAGAGCCGCCATGATGGTCTACGACCCTGGACATTAACCATTTGGTTGAAGTTTACCTTGGTAGTCCCAATGGCCATGCTTCAGTTATTTTAGGTTGGTTAGGTTAACTACATTTTTAGTATGACGTTTCCTTCTTTTTTTCTTTTTAGGTATTCCTTTCTTCTGTCTACTAAAAATGTAGTTAACCTAAGCTAACAAAAGCATGATCGTTGGGACTACCAAGGTACTACTAAACGCCAACTGGTATTTTAATTTGTTTATCATTGAAACAATATTGCGAAGAATTGTGAATTATTATTTTATTTAACTTGATTAATTTTTAAAGTATTTATGAGGCAGTTGGGACTTTAAAGCCAGTGCAAACTAGGCAATATTGCAGAAAACTGGGTGAAGCAATTTAGGCTGATCATCCCCCGCTTAATGGCCATCAATTGCCAATCATTGACTCAACAATCACTCTGTCATACCCTTTGATGGAAAGTAGGTGGTCTGTTTGATGCCTCTAGGATCCAAGAAGTTTGATTTTTCAGGTTGTGAATGACAAAGCTCATGCACATTTGATAGTTTGAGAGAAAGGAGCATGTGCTGTAGACCATAAAGAAGGTTCACGGTTGTGCTTCAGGTTTTGGCCATGTATTGGTCAAAACCTGGGATTACAAAACAGCTGTTTGTTGGCTCTTGATAGAAGTAATATAAATTATTTTATTGAAATTTATAAATCTATTGGGTCCTCAATTTCATTATTGTTTATTTATTAAATTTTTGACAGACAATAAATCCAAGTGGCCAAAGCTAACATTAACTACGAAGTCGTTGTCATTTTACAAAACAAACTACTGAGCAGTAGTTTGTAGAGTAGTAGATGAAATGCCCATTGGTTCTGTAGAATATGTCACGAGTGATATCACAAGCGACAAATTTGCCTGTGATATCACATCAAAAGCAACACATTGCCTAGTTTGCGCTGGCTTTTAGAGCTGTAGACCATGCCTGTAGAAGTAAAAAATGTCAAAGGAACTGATTGTCTACAAGTGATTTTTTTGTGAGATATAGTCTATGAAATCAGTCAAACTAGAATTTAGGCAACTCAAAAATGAGATAAAATTTAAAAGTGAAAAAATCTGGACTATTTCACAAACAATGCTAAAAATCAACTGTTTATGGTACTAGAGATTAAAAACTTAAAATGTGAGAAATGCCATTGCACCGATTACTTCTGGAACATGATTGTAGTTAGCCACATGCTCCATTAAGTCTATCACATGTTTAACTAGTAGCTCAGATCCATTTTTATTTCACATTTAGACCATTGATTTCTGTCTTTTTTTTACTCCTATGGTCCTAGTTTCATTTAGAGCTGCAGTGTGGCTTATCATATAAGCATGGGCTTTATCATGATTTTTAAAGTAAGGATGACTATTGTTCTAAAACCACAACTGGATAAACTAAATTGAGGAGGTTAAACTTTAACCCCTTATTTTAAGTTTAAAATAGTTAAAGTTAAAACAACAAAAAATTACCATTTGAATTTTATTATAAATAATACATTATCTCCAGTCATGATAAGGAAAATAATGATTAAAAAATTTATAGTGCTGTATTTGTTTCTATAAAAGAACATGCAATTGTATAAATAATAAGTGGACTAATTGATAAATAATTGTTAAAAAACATTATTACTTTTTGCAAGACTATGTCTCATCTCTAAAATCACTGCTGTCAATGACTGCACACCTTAGAGCCGTAGTTCTCAATTCATGGTCTGCAGAACACTGGTGTGCCTTCAAGCCTCTTCAAGTGTTCTGTGAAAAAATGAAATATACAGTTAAAAATTGTTGCAAAAGAAAAATTGATACAATGTAAACTAATTTTTGTATGGGAATGTAATCAGCAAATGCCAATGACATCATATACTAGTCCGAGCATGCTCTTGATTTCAAAAAAGTTTGCTACCCTTGCTTTAAAGCTGATTTATTGTAAGTGTTCTGCAGAAAAAATGTCATAGTTTAGTGTTCCCTGACATCAAAAAGATTGAGAGCCTTAGAGGTATGATGGAGTACTGTACTGTACATGTCAGGAGTTGCAATTTGACACAGTATATGGTGCCCAAATCATGCGCATATAAAATAAACGAGACTTGTAGGTAGTCAGGGGACTGAGAACTGTGTCAAAAGAAAATGCAGAATGCTGAGACTTTCTACAAACAGGCACGAGTGCGAGATTTGTGCATTGCTTGTGTTCTCCAAGACAGTCTCATCCCAAAAATGCTTTGTTGTTTTACTTGTTAAATTTAAAATTATTAAATTAACATTAAAAAATGTATGGTGCTTAAAGAAACAATAGCTTCATTAATTCATACTTCTTAATAACTTCATTAATAATGATAATAAAGGTGACATGTAGAACCTGCTAGCTTTCTGTATCTGTGATTTTAATTTGAAATTTTTATTCAAACTGAAAACAGTTATGGCCGATTGCAGAGACAGAGTTTACATTAAACGACGTTTATCAACGAACGGCCTATAGCTGTTGGCTGGCTGAACCGCAGTTTAAAATGCGTTGCAAAGCCGACGATCGTCTATTTCTGACCGTTCTCTAAATGAACTTCGGCAAAACATTGGCTCTTACTTACTTCGCTATTACTCCCCTGTTTTAGGAGTCGTTCGGCCAATCGGGTTATTTCTTCGTGACGTCAGAAATGGTCGTCAGCTATATTCCGAAAGCTTAAGGCCGTCAAAATCATTGTTCGGCAATTAATGACAATCCTTTTCCATTTCGATATTTAATTTCGTCGCCAATACGATTTAAAATATGAACAAATCCATATTTAGAAAATTTATACCGAATTCGAAATTCGTCTTCGGAATAGATTTTTAAGGAATTATTTCGACATCTTATTACTGTCGAAATGAATAATTTTAAATATTTTATTATTAATATTGCATTTTTTTTAATATCTATAAACAGATTTCTGTAATTATTAAAATTGTCTCTTTTGTTTAACAGTACAATGACTCGGAAATGCATTAACGTTTTATAACCGACACGATACTGGAATTGTAAATAAATGCATCTGATTTAAATTAAATTGAAGTTTTAAGTCTTCGCCCATTTGAATGTCGAAATTGGAACATTTAAAACAAATTTAAAGTATTTAATTTTGTTGTTTTTGCGCCGAGCAATTAATTAATGAATAATTTTGTCGATTCGTACTGTTTACAACATTTATCGAAGGAAAGATATCTGTTTTTATCTAAACTTTTCCACGAACAAAGCTACAATTGAAGCTTTGTTCGTGGAAAAAAGCTTGAATTGAAAAGCCCTCTAAACCTCCTGTCCAGTGAGTCTAGAAAATAGGTCAAATAACTTGTTTCTAATCGCTGTCTACATTGTGGCAGCCTCTAAACTTTGTCTCTGCAATCAGCCCTTAAGGTTTTAATAATTTTTTAGAAAAAATTTTTTGAAAAATAAGATTTACTCCATTCATAGACAATTATCAAGTCTGATTAATTTTCAGTGCCATTTGCCTATTTTTGAAAGAAATTTTTTGTTTCTAACTAAATGATTACTTGATTTAAATCTGGTAATTGTTTTTGTTTTATTATAAAATATTGGGCTTTAAAATGTTTATATGAAATTTTTTGTTTTTAAACAAATAGATTATTATTATTGATACATTACCAATTATTTCTTATTGTTAAGTATATTGCATTCTAAAGAATGTCTGATATGTAGAATTAATTAATTGATGTAAATCAATTTATCAGTTAACAATGAAAAAACATAACAGCCCAGAAATATTAACTTATCATGCCAATTTGCTTAGAACAGTATGTAACTGGCAAGAAAAGAATATGTTAATGGTTAGAAAGTTCCAGGAATGAGATGTAATGAAACAAAATATGATTGTTTATTTTTTGATATTATCTCTTAAATTAACATACTTATTCCAGAGGTATTCCAAAGCCTTCACTCTAGCAGAAAAAACTGATTTGTAAAGTTCTGCAAAATAACCCTTCATTACAGTGATGACTTTATTTGTCTGAAATTCATTGCCTGTCATCATTTTCTTCAGGTTTAGAGAAACATGAAAGTCACTAGGAACCAAACAGAAGAATGTGGGAATGGGAAGGGATTTGGAAATGATGGTTGACAATTTTTTCTGGGTGAGGCAGGTGGAATCTGCTGGTGCATTGACATGATGTAAAAGGATTAGGTGAACTGCCAAGGGGTGTGCTTTCTAGTTCTTTCTAGGGGAATTGGCACATCATTAGACATTGAAGAAAATTCAGCCAGCCCGTTGGTTAAGTGCCTTTTCTCTGCAATAGTAGTCTTCAATTTGTTTTTTAGGTTACAATAATAAGTGGCAGTAATGGTGTTATTCTTTTCTATTGAATATATGTTTGTAAACTATATGACACTTTAAAAGCGAAAATTTCATAAACAAAAAACAAAAAAGTAATCATTTAGTTGTATATAGTTATATAGGTTGTGATTTAATCATTTATGAATTTATGCTGTCTGTTAGAAAATTTATAATTATTAAAACCAATATTTTAAAATTTAATTTTTTTAATATAGCTCTGCAAGCAATAGAATTATTCATGCAAAAGATTATGCATCTATCCAGTTAAATATTGCTGAGGTATGTTTTTAGATGAATTATTATTATGAATTTGATGAAGTATACTATTATACTAGTGTTGGAAAAATTTTTAAATTTTCATATTTTTTAATCATAAAAAAATCTTTCTAAATACAGTAGAACCTCGGACCTCCATTATCCGGATTTTCGATTATCCGGATTGTTCAAAATAAACAAAAATTTTACGAATTTGCTGATTTGCACTTGGCGAATTACGACACTGTTTATGTACGTGATGGAATGCATAACTTTTTTTGTTTCAACAACGTCTCACCCAGCACAGTGGTCGTAAACTCTTAAATATATTTTACGTAGTAATAAAAATATAACTTGACATACGTATTTATAAATAATTTATATTCAAATTACATCATTTCTATGACCAAGGGCGGCGTAAGGCATGGACGACGTGGGCCACCGCCTATGCCTCGCGGTCCGAAGGGCCTCGCGCCTCGAAGGTTTATGCATTACTTAAAAGCCGCGAACGCGACGAAAAAATTTTACTCGTCATAAAACGATAAATAGTTTGTCAAATTTTTATTCATAAAAATGCAGTTTCAACTGCTTTTTATTTTATAAAATCCGTCTTCTTGCGCCACCAGAGGGCCTTTTAAACAATAGGTAGTCTGTTAGCGTTGGTCAGTAGTAGTCCAAATTCAATACGAACGTTTGTTTCTTGAAAATTTGATCACGATTTAAATACAGTATTTACTTTTAATGTTACCGATATGTCATCGAAAAGAAAATGTGTTGTATTATCATTAAAAGACAAATTAAAGTATTTGTTTCGATTATCTGGATTTTTCCTTATCCGAACTACCTTCATCCCCAATTAGTCCGGATAATCGAGGCTCTACTGTACATTATTAACTGTGATTGATTTGCAAGTGAGATTCACTTTTTAAAATGTTCAAAAAAAATTTTCTTTAAGAAATGATTTATTCTTAAATCTTACTGAATATTTATTATTTTAAACCCATTAATTTAGGAATTGGATACCTTAATTTGAAATATTTAAATGTTTTAAATGACTATGTAATCATGAAAGAAATAATTATTTTTTTATGTCAGATTTTATTTGATAAAAGTATAAGAGCACTGTGTCGGTGTTAATTGTTCATCAAAACTTTGTTAACACCGATAGACAGTACTCTTAAACTTTTATCAAGCTATGTAATAATGATTGGAAATTTCAAAATTTACAATATTGAAGACATATACAAAAAAATTTTCAGTCTTCAACATCCTTTCACAATTACTAGAACACAATCAACATTTGTGGAATCAACCTTCTTTTGTAGGCTTTTTTCCAATTATATTTAGTAAATTAGCTAAAAGTTTCATGACATTGGATATCTTCGAAAATTTTCATTGTAAAGAAAACCATTCTAAAACTATAGGACAAAATATGTATTTAAAAAATTAAAAATATACACTGTTGAAGACATACATAAAAAAATTTTTTGCAGTCTTCTTCAAGGTTCTTTTGCAATCACTGGGATATAATCAACATTGGTGAAGTCGACCCAGACATGTGAAAGGATGTTGAATTTTAGAATTTTTTTACTATGGTTGGAAAATTTGTTTTGTAGTGAAATGATTATGAATAGAATAATAATTTAATAATTAAACTTAATATTATGGAATTCATCAGAAGAATAATTTTTCAGGAAAGAAACACCCAAATTCAGTATTCTAATGTTTTCGGCCACTACTTTATCGGCCCTCTTCAGGAAATGTATAATGAAATAACTGTTCTATTTATAGAATGTAGCCACATTCTAGTTTTCAAGTTTCAAATCAGTTTGAACAACATTTGTGACATATCGTATACAATTTATCTTTTAAGAGTTAAATAATACTTCCACGCATTTGGTACAGGTATGTAATCTGTGTTGATGCAATACTCCTCTATATATGATACATCACAACCACTGTTCAAACTTATTTGAAACTTTTGAAAATTAGAATGTGACTACATTCTATGTATAGAACTGTTATTTTGTTATACATTTCCTGAAGAGGGCCGATAAAGTAGTGGCAGAAAACATTCAAATACTAAATTTGGGTGTTTCTTTGCTGGAAATTTTGCATGTAGGTGTGATTCTCCGTATGTATAGTTTCAGTTTGCTTGTACAGTTGTTTTTTGTAAGAATAATTTTTAAGAATATCAATTATTTAAAAAAAATTTTGTAATCTTTAAATTTTGAATTAATGTAATTTTCATAAAGGTAAAAGAAAGATAGTTAAAAATTTTAAATAGGTAAAAATTTAGACTATCAAAAATAAAACAGAAATAATAATTTTTGTACTTGGAATAAAATAGCAAAACTTCAATTCTGCTACAAATTAAAATAACATAGCTATTATTATCAGAATGAAGTTAAACATGTACAAGTCTTGTATTTAAATATTAATTCTATTATATTTATTTATAANCCTATTTAGGTGTTACTAACATGAAGAAAACCCACTATGTTTCATTAAAACACACAATATTAATAGAATAAATAATTCAAAAATATTAAAGTGGATATGAATCATATTTGTATATATATTTATTGAAATATTTGATATTTTATTTGAATGAAAAACTGAACAAATTTTTAAGAATATTTTGAAACTTTCAGTAGATTAACTTAAGCATTCAGATTACATGACATTGTTATTTTCACAATTTTATTACCATGGAGTATAATCAGCTTTTCTGTTAACAAGAGGATATCCAAGCTTTGACTTTTTGGATTTTGCCAAAATTTTTATCAAATATTAGTGATGAGATGATTAATTGGAAAAATTGAGCATTTTTTGGGAATCAGAATCAAGCAAATCTCATCACGATTTCTGATTCTTCTTCATTTAACAAGAAAATAATTATTTGTTTCAGTTGAGGATTAAAAGTTTTAAAATTACAATATTAATAATAAAGTGTTATTTTATTGGAAGCTTTTATGTTGACAAAACAGAGAGCACACAATGCCCCATACACAAGGTGACATCTGTTATAGTGGATTATTCTTTTGTGTAGACATTTTCAGAGTGATGAGAGATTGCACTCAGTCAATACTAACTGTCTCCATTTTAGGAGAGATAGGGTGGTGACATTAGGGTTATCACCTGGCCTGTATTGGGTCAGCTTATTTGGCAACTTCAAATCAAGGACAGCAGTCAACAAAAATATTTAAGTATTGGCAAAACAGTTTAAAATATAAACAAAATTATATTTTAATTCAAAAAATATTAGATAAAATCATTTTTAATATTTTGTATGTTTACTTATAACGATAAAACACTTGAACAACACCTTAAATATTTTTTTCAGCAACTGTTCAGGAAGACAATTTGAGTCTTGTTAAACCTGACAGAGATCTATGAAAAGGGGTCTAAAACTGTCATTGAAATAAAGTGTTGTTGAAAAAGTATTTAAGGTTTTCAAGCTAAATTGGTTTTGGCTTATATAGAAGTGTTTTTGTTATGATTCACAGATGATACTGTGAATCAGAATTGCACAAAGTGCATTTGTTATAAGTAAAAATAATCGTTTGCAGTTTACTGCTGTTTTGAGTTAAAAATTTATTTTTCTAGATGACAATCTAGACATTCTTGGCTCATGTGAATAAATTCAAATATTGGTTAACTCATGATGATATATTTGTTCAGCACACTTTGCATCATTTACTGAATCTCATTTAGTGTTAAATATGATGGAAATAAAGCATTTATAAAGCATACCAAATTCAAGAAGCATGAAAAAAGTGCATCTCCTTATTTACCTTCCCCCCTGATTATTGTATTGGCCAACAAAGCAGTTTCCGAAGATTGTAGACCTTAGATGACATGATGGGATAGTTCTTTGAGTAAAAGGAAATTAGCTGTAATTTCTTTGAGTGTAGTGTTGCAATATTAACTATCTGAAATAAGATTATACAGTAGAGCATCGATTATCCAACCCCTGATTAACCATCACCTCAGTTAACCGACCGCGTTCTAGTCGGCAAATTCAAATGTCTGCTAGCGATGTGGCACTACAATATTTAGCTATGTCTTGGCTACTTTAATATTATTTTTACATGTTTTAGCTGGCAACATGGAACAACCATGAAAGGGAGCCAGTATTTAAACGAGGCTTAATTTTCTAATTTTTAACGATACAATAACAACGATTATTATTTAAAAAAAAAAAATTGATAGGCTTAACATGGAGGAAAATTCAACGCAAAGTAGGTTAATAGCAATATACAGGTAACCCCCGTATAACACGGCACTTCTATAGCACGGATTCACTCTAACACGGTTCGAGAATTGGTACCATCCCCCGTATAACACGGTACTTTTATAACACGGATTCACTCTGACACGGTTCGAGAAATGGGTAAAACCCTCGTACAACATGAAATGTAATAAATTTTTACATACTTAAGTACTAATAGTTCACAAAAATTATTATTTTCATGAACTATTAGTACTTCAGTGTGTAAATTTTCTTTTCTCTTTTCCATACACATGGTCCTTCATGAAAATTGTTTCAATTTTGCCATATCTCGACGCTTCTGCTTCTGTTGTTGCCAGATGTTTTTCCCTTATTTCATAAGTGCTTAGCACCATATAAGGAAATTTATAAAGATCTTATAACTAGAAGCAAGCAATCTAAAATTACATACACTTTTTGCAAAAGGTAAAGCATAAATCTGAAAATAATGCAGAAAAATGCTCAGAGGATAACGATAACTTGCCAAAAAGAAAACGCTCTCGGTTAATTAATAGTGTTTTTAGTGATGACGAAGAAAACATTGTTTAATTTATATTAATATGTATCACTTAAAAAAATTTTAATGAAGATATTTATCTTAATTATGAAAATATACTAGCATGTTTTTTAATTTTTGGAACCTAACCCTCCTTTTCGTACTAGTTCTTTGATTCGCATAACACGGCAATTTTTTGGAATGTAACTACCATGTTATACGGGGGTTACCTGTACTAATATACTAATTACATGGGATATAATAATATACTACACTAATAATGGATGTTTTCATACTTTTCGGTTATTCGACTTTTCAATTATCCGATCAACCCCAGTCCCCAATTGAGTCGGATAATCGTTGCTCTACTGTAAATTTGTTTTGTAGTATGCAATAAAAGGATGCATATTACAAAACAAATTTTGTAGTATGTGTGCTTATGTATAGTTCATGTAGAACAACTCCATTCGTACACATGTTCTATGTGAATGGAGAATTTTCCGGTTTCTTTTGAAAGATTGATTCTGGATTTTTTGGTCATTTTCCATTAAGCTTGATGTTTATTAATGAGTGGAGTTAATGAACTCTTAATGTAAATCATTAATTTTTCTAAACAAAAATAACTTTAGAAACTAATAAAAAAAAAACTGAATGGGGAATTGTATTGGAATTCAGAGTTTTCAGCAGAATCAGAATTGGGGAAAATTTGGTGCCATCCCATCACAATATGTTCTTGGTTTAATTTGTATCAGTAATCAATAAACAAAGATCAATAAATTTCTCTGTAAAAGCTTAATTTCTTAAATTAATAAGAAAAATTTTTACTGTTTTTTTTTTATATGAAACCAAATTTAAAATATTTGATAGTTTATAAATAAATAACATTTTTTGTAGGTTGATGAAAATACAGGCAGAGTTACAGGTACAAACAAAGCCTATGCTATATGTGGAGCAATTAGACGAATGGTGAGTTCTTATTTTATGGCTGACTAAAAATTTAAAATTACAGTGTATTCACTTAAAATTTTAAGTTTTGATGTTCATTTTTATTGAATATAATGATTAATTTTTATTACCATATCATATGTATTCATTCTGATAAACAAAAATAAAAAAAAATTTTCTCAATTATTCTTACAACTTCAGAAGGTTCACAGTTCAGGTAGTAAAAAAAAAATAAATTCCCTTTTGTGAAAAATAAATTGAATTAATTTATGATAATTAATCTGGAAGTAACAGATACAATGCATTTTTCCCTTGATTTATGCAGAGTATTTGTTTCACATGGTTTTTTTTAATATGTTTAAAAACAATGAAAATTTAGTCTGTCAGTATAGAAAACAATATGTGAGAGAAATACCTATGTGTATTATAAAAAATACATTACATTAATTTTGTACATAAAAATATATCTTTAATTTTTTTAACATACTGATCACATCTTTCACTTCTTAAGTCCCAATCTAAAGTGATCAGTGTTAGATAAGAATTTTTAACTAATTTTGCATTTTAAAACACCCCTATCATAAAAAGTATTTGTATGACTATGCCTGTTTTTACCCAATATAAGCATTTAAAAGATTATTTATTTTTATCTTATTTAAGTATTTGAGGGATTTTGTTTTGTTTTATTTAATTATTTGTAACGTGTTACTTTTAAGTTACACTTGGTAAAGCTGTGATTTTTGTAATAGCTTGACTGATATTACAGTTTATAATTCTCATATACAAATTAATAGTGAAATTAAAGTTTTTATCACTTGACAAATTTTGAAGGTATTTTATGAATTAATCAATCCAGATTCAGAATTGGAATCAAGGTAGTTTTGTGCAGAGTGCAGAAAAGTAATTTGTTATCACTTTGCAGAGATGTTTATTATGTTTTACATGAATCAATCAAAACAAGGCCAGAATGATATATTAAATAAAAAGTAGTTAACTAAGAATTTTTGATGTATTGATTTATAATAATTTTATTAAATATGATAGAACAAATAAAACTGAGACTGTATATAAAACATACTGCATAAATTTAGGGATGAATGTGTTATTGCAAAGATTTCTTGTTAAAATATACTTTTACTAATATCAATACATGTTTATAAGAAAAAGTATACCTAAGCATAAAGCATTTTTGTTTTATGCTTTTAAATTTCTTGAACTATAATTCCATTAAAATTGCAATGCAAGATATTCAGTGTGTTTAATTTTTATATTTGAATTTAAAATATATTTTTATAAAATGTTAATTATAATTTTTAATTTCTAATTTGTTTAGGGAGAATCTGATGATTGCATAAACAGATTAGCTAAAAAAGATGGTATTTTACCTAAGTAAGTAGAGTAATATATACAGATTTTTGTGTAGTATGTAACTTAGAATATTCTGCAACTTAAATTAGAAATAAAATTTTTAATATCATCAATAATGTTAAAAAGATAATTAAAACTAAGGAAACATTAATTCAGTTGGTACATATTACAAGAATAAAATATTAAATAATAAGCAATTTTTAATTACATAATGGCTGAAATTTTTAATTTATTTCATTTCAAATATATGCATTCCATCTCAAATTAGCAGTGTGTTGCCCCTGTACATCATAGTTTTCCTGTTAGCAATAGTTGTATCTAACTCCTTTCATGGGAAAATTTTTGAATTGAAATAACTTGACTTCCTGTTTAAACCAGAAGTTCTTATATACCTAATTGAGGCTTCCTGCCCTTAAGCTTTTCATATCTGGTCTGCTTTCATCTATCTAACTCCATTCTTCTGATTAAGGAAGGACAGGCAGTCAGTTGGACAGATGACAGTGGTAATTTATAGGTCTAAAATTCTTTTCAAATTGCAGCCCAATAATATGATTATTTAAAAAGCTACTCTTGTTTCCTTTTTCTTTGAAATATGATTTTACAAAGGGTTGTAGTTATTATTGAAATATTTTATTATAAATTTCAGTTAGATACATTACAAAATCAAATGGCTTCTAAAGGAGGTTATGAATATGCTCTACCAGTTAGTGTTCAAATTCCAGTTGTGGATGTAAAAAATTAGGTAAGTTTTAATATGCTTCTGCATTTAGATTTAGTGTATTTTTTAAAAANTTATATATGAAAAATAATTTTTTGCTTGACATTGCAGGATCATCATAATGAGAGATTTTTAAAACAGTTTTCATGCAACTGAAACAATGTTTTATTTGTGTCACCTTATTTTCCAGTTTTACTTTATCAGAAAATCTAGTTTGATGGTTATAACATTTGTATAAAAACATCAAAAAACTATAATCTATAAATTAGTATTGACCATGCATAACTTTCCTGTTCCTTCAGTACACGTATCCCCACCACATAATACAGCTAACCCCCGTATAACATGGCACTTCTATAGCATGTTTTCACTCTAACACGGTTCGAGAATTGGGAATATTCCCATATAACACGGTGCTTTTGTAGCATGGGTTTTCTCTAACACAGTTCAGGAATTGAGTAAAACCCTCGTAGAACATGAAATGTAATAAAGGGTGCATTCTTTTATACTTCCGCGTAACTCCGCGCAAGCATTCTAATTGTTTTTGTGGCTACTTTGAATGCCCTTTCAACAAATAATCCATTTAATTGTAAAATTTTACAATTGGGACCCTTCTTTTGCCTCTAAAAGTTCATTTTAGAATTATAGATTCCTCCATCACAATACTATCAATAGTGTGGCACCGCCATCTTTCTTTCACCGTCATTCCTAAATGCCTACAAACAGCAGCATACTCCTGTTGCAGAGTGACTGCTATTAATTAACGAAGCACCCAAAAACTGTTAACCAGTTGATGATGCTCATGCTGAGATCATATAGAATGAATAATCCTATGGTAAAATATTTACTTAAATAATAAATAAGTATTTTATCTATGAAAAAAATGAATAATAAATCTGATTTAAATAAGGATTTAACAGCATGTTTTTTAATTTTTGGAACCTAACCCCCCTTTTTGCACTAGTTCTTTGTTTCGTATAACACAGATTTGCATAACACGGCAATTTTTTGGAACAACTCCCGTGTTATATGGGGGTTACTGTACTCTGTAGAAATTTTACACTTTTCTTGCAACAAGTGGAACTGTGGGTTTCATGCTTCCTCCATATGAAAGGGCCACTGTTCAACTGTTCAGTGCCCCCTCTCTCCCATTGAAGGTTTTTTCGCGTGCCAAATTGAGTGTGGTTTTTAATTAATTAATTAATGTCTGAAAGACTTAATATAAGAGTTGCTTAAATACAAAAAATTCTTGTAAAAATGTGAGAATAATTGCTTTTATATGATCTTATCAAAAACACTGATGAAACCAGGTTTAAAAAGTAAAGCTCAGTAAAAACATCAGAATAAAGGAAACTTTCGAAAGTTGCGGAATAAGGATAGTTGAAGCAGATTTGATAGTAAGACTCAACATGTGAATAAAGTGTACATTATACAGATTACAACTATAGGAAATTTTGAATGAAGCAACATCACTGTGTTAATAAATAGGAAAAATAAACATCAGCACAAAGGGGCTTCGAGCTCTACTTTGTGCCTTAAATTGTTGCACGTACATTAATTTAGCTGAACATTAGAACATCTTTAAGCAGTATTAGTGAGAGAAGTTTGGAGTAATAGGTTTATGGGTTAATAAGAGGAGAAGAGTTGGGAGGGGGTGGGGTGTCCAAGTTTCGTGGTAATTAAGTATGTTGTCATAAATATTGCATTTATAGAAGAATTATTAGAATTGGTTTGGTTTATTTGGTTACAGCAACACAACATGTGAATCTGCTGAAGAGGATGCATCCTGGAAAGACTTATGTAAAGTTGGTTCCTATTTAGGTGTTACTAACATGAAGAAAACCCAGAAAACTCCACATAGCCAGTCTGTTGGCTATGTGCAAACCCACAACTGACTACCAATGTTCGGGGATTTTATCCACTCGGTTACTGGAGTGTACTTGTTGGGCAGCAATTTGAAAAAATTTTAGACCTATAAATTTTCACTGTTGTCCATTTGTCTGTCCTTAACCTCAACAATGGAGTTAGATAGATGAAAGTTGAGACCAGATATGGAAGGTTTAAGAGCAGGAGGCCCAGATTAACCATATATGAACTTTTGGTTTGCATTGCAAGTCATGTTATTTCAATTCAAAAATTTTCCATGGTCCCTTAGTCTTGAGTCATAACTCACATGCTTTCCCATCTCACCATGTGAGTTTCTACTCTCTTTGAGTCAAGCATGTGAGATCTCTACATGAAAGTGGAAATGGCTGATGGATATGCTATTCTGATCGCAATCGAAGCATTAGAAAGAGCTGAAAGAGTTGTTTAAGAAGGCAACAAATTTTTCGACCAAGAGTAGATGCCATTTCTTTTCATGTCAAGTCAACACTAATAAAAAAAATTTAATTCATAATTAGTAAAATTATACAGCAAATTTTTCCAAAAATAAAAAGAAGTATCAATTCATCGAAAAAGAGAATTAAAATGATAGTAAATTATATGTATAAATTATTAAGAGCATAGACACTATATTAAGATTATTTATTAATCAGAAGTGTTAAGTTCTGATTAATAAATAATGTTTATAGACAAAACAATTTAAGAAATAGATCAAGGAAGAAAAGATTATATTAAAATACTTTTTCCATTACACAACAAAATTTTTAGCTCTAACACATGCAATTAATTTTTCAACTATTTCTCTCCACAAATCAAATTGTCTTTTTTTGTAAATTTGTTGTCAAATTTTTCACTGTTCATTTTCTTATTATTTTCTATATCTATACTAATATTATAGAGGTAATGCTTGTATGTATGTATATATGTATGTAAGTTTATTTGCAGCAGGTAAACTCCGAAACTACTCATCCGATTTCAAAAATTCTTTCACCAATATTTAGAATGGAACCTCAGGGTGGACATAGGCTATATATTATTCCGTTAAACATTCATATAAATTAAATGATATCATCTATGGTTAAGGCTTTTTTGTCCAACAGATGGTGCTACGAGTATGACGCCCTAAGTTTGCTTTTCTGTGAGGCATTATGCTTTTCTGTGAAAATGAACTAAAGCGGATCATCTTCTATCTATCTATATAAATAAAAATGTAATGTTCGTTTGTTCTACCGATTCCTTTGAAATTTTGACACAACGCTGCATTCGAAAACGCACATGTTTTTATATACTGTAATATACGTGTCGAAATTTCCCCCACTGAAGGGAGATGGTTAGGATTAAGGCTTACAGTAAAGAACTCTGCTTCTATTTATACTATTTTAGATGCGGGTTTTTGATTGCATTTTAATAGGGTACGTTAACAGAATGTACACTAAGAAGGGATTTTTTGATATTCCCCCGCGGGGGAGAAGAACAGAATTAAGGCTTACCGTGAAGAACTTGGCTTCTATTATATTATTTTAGATGCGGGTTTTTGCATGTTTGATTGCGTTTTAATAGGGTACGTCAAGAGAATGTACACTAAAAAGAAATTTTTCGAAAAATCCCCCCCCCCCACGGGTGAAGTGTTATACATATATAATAGATACATTTTGAGCCACAACAACATGTGGCAGGGTCTGCTAGTACTGTATATTACTAATATTTCTTTTTGTTCTTTTCGTTTATTTTTAAAAATAAAACATTGGATGTTTCCATTTTGTTTCTGCATACTGTATTGCTATAAGACAAAACTTTTAACTGTAACACATGTAAACTAATTCACATTGATTTGTTTACAACTTGTTACACTTAAGTTGATTTATAGTTGCATTATAATATCATTAAATCATTACAGTTGCAAACCCAGATGCATTGTAAATAATCCCATCATGCTTAATGTGACCAAGTGAGTATGACATATTTCCACTTGCCTTTTGAGTTCACTTGATGGGCCTAACTCAAGACTATCAATTTTGTGAGTCATAGTAACATGAGTGAGTTCGATGATGTCAATTTAAGTACAACACAAAAAACTAAGACTAAGGGCCCTGAATGGAGTTGGATCCGTAACCAGCACAACACTATTGTGAACAGGAAAAGTATGATGTATAGGGGCAAAACACTACTACACTCCATGCAAGCAAGTTCAATGTGCTAGCTGTCGTAGTAATGGCACATCTATTTCATGCTATATCATTGTCACAGTAATTAAGTGAATATAATATATATAGAAATTGAATCAATATTTTTAGATGGAATGTATGGCATTATCTAAGATAAGTTAGAAATATATGTACATAATTGACAAGTTTCATAGCAATTGATAGAACATCCTAGTTGTACTGTACATAACAAACATCCTCATATATATATACATACATAGTGGTGCCTCGTATAACATACTTAATCCATTCCATGTGCATGTCCATTAAGTGAAAAATCCGATATACGAAACGCATTTTGCCATAGAAAAAAATGCTAAAACATATAATTTGATCCACAGCATAAAATAACCGTACTGTACCATAAAAAAAATTTAAATGGAGCAGTCACCAATTATGCCAGGTAGTCAGATGTTGTGAGGAGGAGGTGAAGGAACACTTTTTTCACACATTCATATGGATACAGACTTTTTACACATTGCAGCAGGTCTCTTTTTATTGTTTTTTAATCGGAATCAGATTAGGGAGAGACTACCAGAGCTTGCAGGGCAGTGGCATAGCAAGGGGGATGCAAGGGGGTGTATCATGCAATGGTCTCCAAGACAAACTATATGTGTTTCTGGAGGGGGGTGCCAATAAAGTGTCGTGCCCTGGGCGCCAGTTATGTTTGCTACGCCACTGTTGCAGGCCAACTCCTCTTGTTTCATCCTTTGTTTTTTGGCAGATGGCTTCTTGAAAATCATGTGGTCTGTTTCTCTCTTCTTCAACACCTGTCGGAAATGACGGGCAAGGGTGTCATTGTAGGGATCATTAATCCTGTTAGCCTCAGCTCTGTTTGGATAATGAGTATTAGTAAACTCCTGAACCTCTCCCCATTTGACAAGGAATTTTTTGTCAACTGATGATTTCTTGCTTTGTTTCAATTGAAATCACCTTTCTGTTTTTTAGAAGCCATGATTTGCACAACACTTGAATAAATGTAAATACCCTGCACTGAGGTGATGTACATAATAAATAAAGAAGCAAGCCAAATCCCAACGGGAGCTCTGTACTTCAGATATAATAATATATTCTAATAATGCTAATATATTATAAAAATAGCAGATTGTCATTGGCAATGGCAAAAGAGTGGAAACATCATTTGCACTTGTTCGCAGAAAGTCCGTTGTTTGCCTCACATAACTGCTGAATGGAAAGTCCATTGTTCGTAGCCAGTCTGTTGCATGAGTCATGTAACGGCCAAACAGAAAGTCCGTTGTTCGCAGAGTCCATTATTTGAGGCATACGTTATATGAGGCACCACTGTATATATATATAATTTTATATACATATACATATACATATATACAAATATTGTTGCATTATACAACAAAATATACATAATAATACAACAAAAAGTACACCTTTCAAGCTTTTATTATTTAAATTTTATATTCTGTTGTAATTGAAAAATACAGTGGTGCCTCGTATAACGGACGCTGCGAATAACGGACTTTCTGTTTGGCCGTTACTTGACTCGAGCAACGGACTGACTGCGAACAACGGACTTTCCGTTCGGCAGTTACGTGAGGCGACCAATGGACTTTCTACGCACAAGTGCGAATCACGTTTCCACTCTTTTCCCGTTGCCAATGACAATCTGCTATTTTTATAATATATTAGTATTATTAGAATATATTATCAGTATATCTGAAGTACAGAGCGTTGGCATTAGGCTTGCTCCCTTGTTTATTATGTACAACACCTCAGTGCAGGGTATTTACATTTATTCAAGTGTTGTGCAAATCATGGCTTCTAAAAAAACAGAAAGGTGATTTCAATTGAAACAAAGCAAGACATCATCAGAAGGAGTAATACCCCGTTCGCACCGAGCATTTCGATCTAGATTGTGACTAAGGTCAGAGAGAGTTCCTTGGTGCGAACGCTCTCGACCGTTTCAATCTCGACTGAAACGAGGTTCTATCGCGATCGACTGGAGAGAGTTCTTGAAACTAGATCCAGTCATAAGAGAGATCCCACAATCCCACGCGCGCGAGAAAATACAAGATGGCTGCTGAACACGTGTCCGGCTATTGACAGAAAAATAAAAAAGACATCTGGAGAGACGATGACATCTGTCTATTATTAGATATACGGCAAGAAAAAGTATTTATATCTAACCAAAACTCCCATTTTGTTTGTTGGTGTTTGTGACTTACCGCGTAGTTATGTCAATTTTATCATCGCGTGTAATAGCCGGGTTCTTCTCAAGCGAGTTACCTGTGCGAACAGCACAACGTTCCACTAGCGACAGTCACAATCCAGATTGTGGGTAAATCGAGATTGAAGTGAGTCGTGGATTGTGTGTGAACGGGGTATAAGAGTTGACAAAAACTTCCTTGTCAAATGGGGAGAGGTTCAGGAGTTTACCAACACTCATTATCCAAACAGAGCTGAGGCCAACAGGATCAATGATCTCTACAATGACACCCTTGCCCGTCATTTCCGACAGGTGTTGAAGAAGAGAGAAATAGACCACCTTGGACGTGTTTTTCAAGAAACTAGCAGGGAAAAAACAAAGGACGGAACAAGAGGAGTTGACCATGCAAGCTCCGGTAGTCTCTCCTGAATCTGAATCCGATTAAAAAACAATAAAAAAAAGTCCCGCTGCAATATGTAAAAAGTCTGTATCTGTACGAATGTGTGAAGAAAGTGTTCCTCCACCTCCTACTCACAGCATCTGACTACCCGACATAATTGGTAACTGCTCCATTTTCATTTTTTTTTTATGGTACAGTACGGTTATTTTATGCTGCGGAACGAATTATATGTTTTAACATGTATTTCTATGGGAAAATGCGTTTCCTATAATGGACTATTCACTTAACGGACGTGCACCTGGAACGGATTAAGTATGTTATACGAGGCACCACTGTATCAGACTTCATAATGGTCCCCTTAATCTCCTTTTGAGGCTGAGAAAGTTGAGTAAGGGCTCTTTCCAGCATTTTTTTTGCCTTTTGCCCATAGTACTTTTTCAGGACATGATTATTTAGTTGCCACATTTCCACAGTAAATATTTAACAACATATACAAGTAGTGCTGAAAAATTGGATTAATGTAAAAATTTATGTGCATGAATTCACATGTTATTGCACATATGAATACAAATTTAAATTACTGTATAGATAACAGAAAAATTAGAAATTATATGTATGTACATATTTATAATTATTTAAAAAGGAAAATTGCCATTTTATTGTTTTATGTAGGAATATATTATGTCTTAATGAGAAGTAAACTATTAACTAAAAGTTTTTTAGTATTTGAAATCAATTTAAATTCTGTTTATTATAAATCATTTAATAATGATGATAAATAATAATTTACAAACATTGTTTTTTTTTCTTTTTCAGGTCATTTTGAATGGGTCAAATGAATCTTTGTAACCACATAATTGAACATTTGTTATAATAAAATGTTTGTGGTATATATCATGTATTATTATTTCTTATTTGTATCATTTTAAATATTTCAGACCTAATTAATTCACATATATTATCTGAAAATATTTCAGAGTATATTTACCTACAATAAAATGGTTTAATAGCCGGAAAAAATACAATTTTTAACGGTTAAATTTGATTTCTGAACATTGATGTTTTTACATTATAAATCATAGACAATTAGTTTTTATGTTAAATAATAATAGTTTTTATTAAAATTTTACCTAAAGAATAAATTATAAAAACGATATAGGTATTTTCAAGAAGTCCAAACATTTTTCTCTTAATTTAAATATATTCAGTTCATCACAGAAAATTCTGGATGAGACTGATTATTGAAATAATAATTGCCATTGTTTCAAAGTGATAAGTCTATCAGGTTTTTTTTTAATAATAAACTTTTATTTATTTGGCTTTTGCCTTTACAAGGGGAAGGAAGCAAACATGTATGTTTGTACATAAAACAATGTAGAAATAACTTTTTACAAATATGTAAAATTTGTTGAGCAAAATTAATAGATAACAAATTTATTATAATAGAGTTAGTGAAAATTGAAAGAACTTCTATTACATTATATAAGGTCATACCCGAAGATCCAGACGTCTGTCACGGGCAATTAAAAAAAAAAGGGCGCCCCGGCAGTCGGGGCACGTTTAATATAAACCAAAGCATATGTATCCAAATAGCCCAATAGGCTAAAAGTGTGTGTAATATATAAATGCAAGCCGGAAATTTTACACAGATTACGTGAGTGCAGTTGTCCGGCTAACTTATTCCATCTTTCTGCTAATTACTTTGAGGATAGAGAAGCAATTATCTCCCTGGGGCATCTTCAATTTACACGTAAGCTACAACGCGGCTGTCCATTGGAGTCTGTTTGTGGGCCCCTGTTCTGAGATATTTTATTCAATAACTTCTTCCATACTGACTTTGGCTACCAATGTCGTGTTTATGCATATGCAGACGATGCCTTTGTGGTTTTCCCTGCCCCATCAAGAAACTACATAGAAAGGAAAGCCACTGACATTCTTAAAAAAGTATACAACTGGGGTGTAAGAAATAAACTCAGCTTTAACATGACAAAAGACTAAGGGAATCGTTTTCTCCTCTCCGGGAGCCCCTGACCTTTACAGACGTGCCTTGTATCAGGTTTCGTAATCTATATATATAAAAATGAATGTGTGTGTCTGTTTGTCTGTCCTTCATGCATTGCCACACCGTTTATCCGATTGCCGTGAAACTTTGGGAAGTTGTTTAATATACTCCGGCGAAGGTTTGTGGCATAGTACGATTGCCATAAAACTTCGGAAAGTTTTTAATACACTCCCGCGAAGGTTTTGGCATAGTACATTTATCCTACGATAGATGGCGCGCGTTTACACGATCATTCGAGCACAGTGTGTTCGATTTCAAATTGTGAAGACCATTTCCCCCTTCAAAAAATATTTCTATATATGCATTTGTGAACTGTTATTTACGATATTCGTAATAATGTTTGTTTAATCACTTTATTTCAACTTTTTTTTTTTGCTAATTACGTATTCGCTCGAACTTTGTTAAAACTTTAAGCTAGTGAGTCAATAAAAGTAAGTCATCTCACTCTCCTTGGGGTTGTGATTGATCATAAACTCTCCTGGAAACAGCATATAAAACACATTACTAGTCAAAGTAACTTGACCTTTAATGGTTTTTTAAGGATTGCCAGATGCAAGTGGGGCCTCTGTTTTGAGGCAGCTAATGCCATATATGATTGCCTGTTTTTACCAACTATCTCATATGCATCTGCTGTTTGGAGCACTGCTGCCTCTCAATCTCAACCATCGGTGTCTGAAGTCTGCACAGCAGATTGCCTGCCTTATTACGACTTACCAGGTGCTATTCCACTGTTTCAAATGCAGCCCTCCCTGTAGTGGCTGGGAAGCTCTCCATTCTCCAATTTCTCCATTTTAATAGGAAACGTTTCTGTGTTTCTGTATCTCTAGGGGCAGGGATGTTGATATTAACGGAACCATTTTTAATGCTACCATGTTTAAATTAGACAGACCTGTATCTACACTCCCACATCCTGCCTTAAGGAAGGGACTCTCTCCTCATGTTACCTCTACAAAGATTGAAGCTTTTACAGATGGATCCAAGTCAACGGACGGCACGGCAAGTGCCTTTGTGATCTCTCAGGCTGGTGAAGAAGTTTACAGTGATTCCTTTGCTCTACACCCGGAATGCTCTGTCTTCCAAGATGAGATCTTCACTGTATTGATGGCAATCAACTGGTGCAACTCTGATGTTGTGAACAAACTGATAAACATCTTCTCAGACAGTGCTGCGACTGTTGCTGCTTTGGAGAATAAAGATAATACTCACCCTGTTGCGAACGACATCTTCTCTGCAGCTTCTACGTCTTTTAACAAGTATGCCATCAATTGGATCAAAGGACACAGCGGCATTCCGGGTAATGAATGGGCTGACTTTCTGGCGCGAAACGTAACGCCTAATCCTGATAATCCTCCTGCCTATAAGCGAATGAGATTGTAGGCCAGATAAGGTATCTAAGTCAAAACTTAAATACTTTATCTGGGACAATGCTTTGGAAACTTGGCAACTGGATTGGGACAAGATCCCACAACAACACATAACAAGACGTTTTATCCCAAAGCTCAAGGAACGCATTCACAGCAAATGGATTCAACTCACACATGATTTAGTCCAATTTTTGACAGAACACGGGCGCTTTCGTGTTTACCTGAAAAGGTTTCACCACTCTAATTCTGACTGCTGTCAGCTGTGTGGGGTGCGGGACGGTGTCATGTATTTATACAACTGTCCTATGCTGGATGACATCAGGTATCAGGTATCAACTCGCGANTGACAGAACACGGGCGCTTTCGTGTTTACCTGAAAAGGTTTCACCACTCTAATTCTGACTGCTGTCAGCTGTGTGGGGTGCGGGACGGTGTCATGTATTTATACAACTGTCCTATGCTGGATGACATCAGGTATCAGGTATCAACTCGCGAGCGACTTCTGACCAGAGTGGACGCATGTTGTTTACAAGATGGCGGCGAGAGACTTCGTCGAATGCTACTATGGAAATTACGGCAAGCATTAAAACGGTAAACTTGACAGTTAATTGTTATCACTAACTAGATATACAACAAATATAAAGAATCTTTATAGAATAGTAAGTTTAAAAAATTTTTTATTTTTTTTAACAAAATCAGAAATTATTAAGTTACGTAAAAGATTATTAATTATAGTACATACAACATATATACACAATTCATTTGTCNATTTTTGAAATGTTGCATTTACAAAATCAGAAATTATTAAGTTACGTAAAAGATTATTAATTATAGTACATACAACATATATACACAATTCATTTGTCTTTCTGTTTACATTCATCTTCAAAATCAGCTATTTTCTTCGTTGGAAGCGCGAGCAGTGGAAGCGGCGATCAAACTGGCTTGGTAGCTGCTTCCAAACGCGCGTGTAGAAGCGTCATCTGATGGTCGCTACACGCTAAACGCGGTCGCTGGACGCTGCCACGTAGGACGTAGCCCAATACAATATAAGCGAGCCATAGATGGGTTTTAAGTTTTAATGTCTAAACGCTGAGTTATTGGAATATTGGAAGCTTGGGGTGCCATCGCCCCTCTGAATCCGCGCCTGGGTGATAATAGACTACCTTATTTTATAATCAATTTAATTTTTGTTCTGTTTGGTATCCCAGCAATGATTCTTTTATGTATTCAAGAGGTTCACATGAAATAAACCATAAACATTTTTAAAAAATATTCCAACTACTAAATCAAAAAGAACATACGGTATTTATCATATCTCCCATTTAAAAAAATGGTATATTTAACCGAAGTTGTATCACTAGAGATTTAATCTTATAGTTTAAATTAGACAATAAGTAACGCCAGTCCTCGGAAGAGGTGTATCCAGCCAACTTCAAACAATATGTATTCTAATTAATTAACAATGCCTTACTGTTCTTATTACCAATTTAATCTTTAACTGTCTACTGATGAGGGGTATGTTTACCCGAAACACGTATATGTATATGTGTACAGAAAAAATTACTACTACAGGTGAATTTCGATAAAAGTTTTATTTTTCTGATCTAACTGTCAGTTTGGTATCAATTATTAAACACCGGTGTAACGTTCTACTAATAAGCTATGTCCGAGTAGACAGTTAAAGATTAAATATGTATTCTATTTTGTAACCAATATGTATCATTTAATTAATGACTAGTACAGTAGTCTCAGAAATTTGACCCTCGATAACTCGACATTCCGTAAAACCTGTGTCGTTCAAAAACAAAACATACGTAATCTATTAATTTAATTATAATTATTAAATTTAAAAGAGATGGCGCCTACCTCTAGAGCCAAATTACTGGGCATTACCGCTACTAATAATTATTAAAATTATTAGTAGCGGTAATTGACTTTCTTAACATTTGAGATCACATCCCGGTAAATTTTTTTTTCTATAAGACAAAGGCCCAGTTCCAACAAATTTACTTGTAAATACCTTTCCAATATATTTTTAAAGTTCACACATTAAACTAACGTAAGTGTTAATAATTATGTTATAATCATAAAGAGTATTGGTACTGATACAATTACTTGTGTGGTGTGGCAGGGTGATAGAAATAAAATTACAGTTAAATTAGTTATCAATTACTGGACTAATGAAATTTTGTAGCATATTGTAGTTTCCTCAGGCCAACATTAATAAATTAATTTGTGCTGATTTTCATCGACATATCTCATTCTGATCACCAAAAATTTATTATTATTCGTTATTATTAATGTTATTATTCGGTGTAAAATTGATTATTGTATTGTTAAGTTGATTTTAGCGGTGTTGGTTTGAAAAAAGGCAATGAGAAAAATATTTAGGCCTTGTAACTCATCATAGAAGTCAGCTGAGCAGGGAAGCAAACAAAAGGATGTCAATTTATCAACAAAAAT